AAAAAAAAAAAAAAAAAAGGCAAAAGGCAAAAATCTCCAAAAAATAAAAAGAACAACATCAAATTGGCAATCGGTCGTCGCCATCGCCGTCTCCTTCCTCCTATTCTACTCCTCCGTCCCTACGGACTTCCAAATGGAAAAATCTCATGATTTGGACTAGAAGTGAAGAAGATATTCGGGTTTCCGCCGCCGACGGAGCCGAATTCCACCGTCACGGAACCAAATATCCCGATGTTGGTCTTTAAGGACTTGTCAAATAGGCAGCGGGGGTCGTTCGACCTATAGCTAAACTTAAGCAGCGGGTCCGATCCGAGCCCGACTACGAATTTGATTGAGAGCTTTTGGCGATTACCAACGACGATCTCGACGGAGGAGAAGCGGAGGTGATTTTTAATGGAGGTAATTTTTCATTAAGATGAGATGACATGAGATAAGATAAGACGAAAAAATCTGATTTTTTGTTAAATGTTTGGATTTTAAATTTTTGCAAAAATTTCCTCAATTTGTTTTTTTAATGAACGCATGTGTGCGTCAATTTTTGTTATTAAGATTAAGATATCTACAACTATTTTTTGTTATTAAGATTAAGATATTTACAACTATTTGGCAAAAAAATCGGACCAAATCTTTAAGTGATTAAAAAAAATAGATTATAGAAATAGATAACTCCAAATAAGCTGAAATCAATATCTCCAAAAAATTCGAATTGATGACCGGCGGGCATATTCAATTTTTTGAACAAAAAATCACTCATTATAGTATTTATTTAGGCGGGAATTGAAATCTTTTTTTTTTGCTGATTTTTTATTTGATTTTTTCAAACAACTATCATTCCTTCTTTATATATTAATAGATGCATGATTTAATATTTAAGATATCAATATTTATTATCTAATGTTGAATATGAAATATATTATAGTCTTACAAAATCACACAACAATACAAGGATTATGTGTTTGAAACAACTTTGATGAAAGTTATATTTCATGATGTATATAAAATATTTTAGTAAATTATCATAGAACAATTTAATTTAGGAATTTTTATACATATTTTTTAAGAATATTTTAGAAAATTTTAAATAATTTCATAGATTTTTTGAAAATAAATATAGAATATTTTAGATATTTTTAAGTGTGTTATATAACTATAATTTAGGTGCTTTGATACTTTAAATAAATACTGTTTGATAGTATTTTTAAGATGTCAAATATTATTCGTAAATTGTAGTAAATTAGTTGTGAGGATTAGAAAAAATTGTTAAGAATGAAAAAATTATATTATTTATAGGTATCTGTTAATTAACTGATAGTTATGAAGTAGAGTGTAGTTCACAACAGGTTCCTTCTCCCTTCCGAAAACACCTATTCGCCCAATCTTCATCGTCTCGCCTCCGATTTGAAGCCGTTTGCCTTCCTCAGCGGCCATCGAGCTTTGTCGGCGGTCGATGGCCCTAGGCTGCTTGGATCCCCCCCTTTTTTTCCGCTCTTTTTTCCGATTTCATTAGCGGAAGCCCTTGCCGGTTGCGGATGGGCAACATCTTTCCGGCGTCGATTCGTGACTTCAGGTGGGTGGGTTCTCTGGTGTGCGGTAATGGAGCCGTGGTGCCGTTCCTGGGGTGGGACACGGCTCAATTGCTCGGCGACTTGCTGCTGAGCGATGAGACGTTGCTGTTGCTCAAGGTCACCCTTTGGTCCTCTGATTGCGGGTTGCACGGGGCCGACGCACCAATTCTCCTCTCCGTGGAGTTGTTCGGGGTGGTGGTGCTGCAGATTGCGGTGATTTTGGGCACTTTCCAGGCGATTTGGGGTCGGGGCTAGGGTCGTGGCACTCTATTGTCTGTTTGAGGCAATTGGTGTTATGGTCGTGGTCCGGGTTGGCCTGCTTTGGTTCCGGGGTTAGAATTTCGTCTCCGATAGGCAACTGAGTGGTTTAGGCAGTTTCGGGATCGGTGTTCTGGCTACGGAATACGTGGTCGACTTGTTTCCATTGGTTCGACTAGGTGATGCTGTTTAGGAAGGGCCGTTTAATTTATATATTTCTTTTTTGTTCGTTTTGTGGTTAGTGTGTGTTTTGTCGTGCTTTCGTTTTGCTGTTTTGAGCCTGGGTATCAACTTATTCTCCTGTTGGGAGCCGACACTCGGGTATTACTCCGTTGGGGTCCTTTTAGTTTTTTAGTTTTTTAGTTTGTTTAGTGTTGTTGTGTGTTAGTGGTTTAGTGTTCGTTTGTATTGCCCCGTTGGGGCCGGCTTTAGGCAGTCATTGACAAAATTGACTGTCCTCCCACTCTATTCAGCTGTTGGCTAGTTCTATTCAGCTGGTGGCTGTACCTTTGTACATTTTTGTGATTTATATATATAATATCTCTATCGTTTTGAAAAAAAAAAAAA